GTCACAAAACTCACATTACTCTGATCCTTAGGGGCCAAGGGAATCTGCTGATATCCTTGAGATGCGTCCATCATACTTAGCAATTCGCAGCCAACCATAGAGTCGACTAGTTGATCGATCTGTGGTAATGGGTAATGATCTTTGGGGCACGCCAGGTTTAAGTCGCAAAAGTCGATACACATGCGCCATTTGTTTAATTCCTTTCTTACCATCATAGTGTTGGATATCCACTCATGTAATTGAATTTCTTTGACATGTCTCGCTCGCAACAATTTATCCACCTCCATTTCAATGGCTTTGTCGATTTCTGCACCATGGTGTCTAAGTCATTGTTTCACTGGCTTCCTGAGGGGATTGACGTTTAGTTTATGCTTCATAATGGTGGGGTCGATCCCCGTCAATTCCTCAGGGGTAAAAGCAAAGATGTCTCTGAATTCCTTTAATAACATGATAAGCTGATCTCGCAGCTCGTCTTCCAGATCCTTCCCGACCTTGGTGGTTTGTTCCATTTTTTCCCCAATCTATATTTCCATACACCTGTGTGGTTCAAGATCGTTATTCCTCGGCCTCTTTTCGTTCGTCATTGGTTTCTTCCCTTCTCTAACTTCGTCCCGCTGGTTGGTTTTTACAGCGATTTGATAACAGGTCCTTGACAGCTTTTGATCTCCACGAGCTTCTCCCACTCGATCCCCAACTGGGAATTTGAACTTCATGTGGTAAGTTGAAACCACGGCCTGAAATGCATTGAGCACTGGGCTTCCCAGGATCACATTGTAAGCGGACTCGACATCGACTACCACGAATCTTACCATTTTCACCTTCCGCAAGTCGCCTTCACCTAGGACGACAGCGAGCATGGTCTCCCCTAGGGGCGCAACTTCCGAACTATTGAAACCAAACAACGAGGTATGGAGGGGTGCAAGTTATATGTCGAGCTCCATCCTCTTGAGACAATCATAAAAAATCACATTCACTGAACTCCCCGTATCGACGAACACTCTCTGCACTTCATATCCCGACACTTGGGCAGTTATCATTAATGCATCATTGTGAGGCCTCTCGACTTCTCCCACATCCGCTGGTCCAAAGTTCATTACTGGTTCATTTTCATCGACTTGTTGTATCTCGACTTTTCTGTGGCGTCCCCGGGCGTACGTCTTCCTTGCCCGGTTTGAATCTCCATCAGTTGGTCCACCAAATATCATGTCTATGACTCCCCTCCTCTGGGGTAGCTCCTCCTTCTCAAGTGTTCTCGCCCTCTTTCGAGGGCACCTGCTCCTCCCTCTCCTTCTGCTCGACTTCTCCCTATTCTTGTATACGAATTCTTTCAAGTGTCCTGCCTTTATAAGCCTTTCAATCTCATCCTTAAGATTTCTGCAGTCGTCTGTATTGTGCCCATAATCCTTTTGGAACCGACAGTACAAGTTGCTTTTGGGCCTTGTTGGCCCATCCTTCCTCGTCTTACGCCACCTGACGACATTGTCGTGGATTTCCCTTTCCATTACCTCCAGAATTCGCGCTTGGGGGGGCGACAAGGGGGTATATTGAGTCGGCCTCTAACCCCTCAGTCGCCCTTCTTTCTCTGCTCTAGGGGATCCTCTTCTATCACCTAATGGCTTCACTTTCTTGTCCTTCTTCTCGTCCCGGTGTTCAGCTTTCATCTTAGTTGCCTGTAAGAAGTCGGCTTCTGCTTCTTCGACATTCATATATTTCGCGCATCTGCCCAATACTTCATCAAACGTCTTACCAGGACGCTTCGCCAGAGAGTTCCTGCATAACTCGGGTAGCAGTCCTCGAGTCAACCCCCCTACTTTGATCTCCTCTGATGCTCTGGGTATGTCGACCCATGCACGCGTGTATCTCGCCACATAGTCCCGCAATGTCTCACCTTCTTTATGTTGCAGGCCCATCAAGGTTAGATATGACTTCTCCTGGGGCTTGACACTTGCAAATTGATTGAGAAAACTCGAACTGAATCCGTCAAAGTCCTTAATCGCCCCCAATGGTAATTGATGGAACCAATCTTGTTCGGATCCCCGCAAGGTCGTCAAGAAAGCCCGACACTGGACTGAGTCATTATAACGATGTAGTACCGCCATGTTCTCAAAACCCCTCAAATGACGAGACGGGTCAGTCGACCCATCGTAACTTATGTTTAGATCACAGAAGCCTTGCGGTAAGTCAGCATCCAGAATGTTATGTGAGAACGGGTGTCCCCTTGCGCCTCCAGTCATCCGTCCCTCGACTCGGGCTTGCGGATCACGGACCTGGGCCAACAACTGCTCCAATGTTTCGTCTCTCGCTTGCGGGTTGACGGTCCTAATGGAGGATGCTTCCTCTTCCACCCTCCTGATTTGCCTCTCATTGGACTGAGCTTGATGTTCACGATCCAGAGGAAGCATCTCGATCCTCAGTGGCTCGACCCTAGGTTGCTCGATCCTAGGCTGCTCGACCCTGGGTTGCTCGACCTTGGGTTGCTTGACTTGCGCTGCCTGAGTTGGGTCGCCACCGCTTCCGCAATCATTTTCTGCATCTCGCTCCTCGTCACGGTCACCATTTGCTCCTCGACCTGGGGTAGTGGTTTTGCCACTTGTTCCAGCACCCTCGATTGCTTTCTGTTAGGTTCTGTTAGGAACGTCAAACAACATGCACAATATTGAACTTTATCGAAATAAATCCTAACGCAGCGGAATCTATAGTTAGGATATGGACGTTTACCTTTTAAAATTTTTGCCGACTCTGAGACGATGTAGAGTACCGTTGATGAAGTTCGTCTGAACACCACAACCTAATGGGCGGATAGGTTTGGTCTTTAATCGATTCTAATCGATAGGTTCCACGAAGCTCGATCACACGGAACGCGGGTCTCGGTCGTTGGGTTGCAGCGGGCGATCGTGCGCATCGGGCGGGGACAACGTGCGGGCAGCGTGCGCGGACTGCTGGTCGTGATGTGCGGATCGCTGGCGGGGCGAGTCGGGCACTGAGCAAACACGCGGGACTGCTGGGAACGCGGGACGGGCGCTGCGGGCAGGTGTGCGTGTCGCGGACGTGCGCTGGCGTTGTCCTATGCCTACGCGGACTGGTGCTGGCGAGTGGGCGAACGCGAGTGTGGGCAGCAGGACTCCTGGGCGTTCGTGGGACGGTGTGCGCGTACTCCGTGCGCGCTGGGGATGCACGAACGGCAACTGGCGAGATGCGCGGGCGAACGACAACGAGCAGGTGCGGCTAGGACCTCATAGGCGTCGCTCGCGGACGCTGCTGGGAGTTGGCGTCGGGCCTGGCTGGTGCGCGACTGCGTGCGACGACTCGCGGTTGCGACCGGCTTGGCTCGGACGGCGACCGACGGTAGTAGGTGATTTCCGGCGGCGGATCACGGCGGCAATGGGCGGCGATCGGCTGGACGATGACCGGAAAATATATATATAAAGGCTCGAATAAATTGTACCCAAAAGCCTTCTAACGGATTACCTAAACACCTATTCCGATTAAATTTGGTGGAGCGTTTAATCGGATCTCCCTCACTCTCGAACGATGTAATTCTCATGTGTATGTAGATGAGAAAATCGCCCAAGACAACATTGTAGGAGAGGTTGGGACATGGTGTATTTATAGGCTCCATTAGGGACCTTAAGGAGGTGCTAAATATGGGCTTATTCCATTAGGCCTAGGAATCCTAATTCTAATTCAATACTAACTCAATCTAGGAAGGAGATCTCCTACTAATCCATCTCGTCTAGAAGACTCCTAAGTCTCCTAACACTAGAGAAGATCCTTGTAGGAATTTCCTTTCCTAATTAAATTAAAAATTATGGAATAGAATTAATTCCTAATTTAGGAAACCTAATTTTACTCCAAATAATAATATAATGTAGGAAATATATTTCCCACTAATCCTCATCTTCTAGAAGACTCCCAAGTCTCCTAATCCCAAGAGAAGATTCTAGTAGGAATTTTATTCTCCTAATTAATTAATTAATATGGAATAAAATTAATTTCTATTTAATGGATATAAATAATAAAACATCCCACTAGAGTAATATTATTGCTCTCCCCATTTAGCCACTATTTTACCAATAAAATCGAGCCTCCATGATTAAATAATATTAATCGGATTGATCGATTTACCTCCCTATGTTTAAGATATAACATCCGTTGATTAATTAAATTACTGACAAAATAATTAATCAACCTCTTATTCATTTCCGAAATTAGTACCACTCAGCCTTTAACCATTATGTTAGACAATCGTCTACCTGCAGGGTTTAACATAATGTTCCTTTCTGAGTTCATTTCGGGGATGTCATCAATCCAGTGCACTGGAACATAATGACTGTAAATAATCTATAATAGCACATCATATAATTATTCTTACTTACCAAAATACCTTGTATGTCATCCTAACGGAATAGGAATCACTTTGTAAATCAAATAAATAAGAGATAAAAATATATGCCTATTTTATATTATATTACAACTTAAGAGAACGCATCAATCACTGAAGGGCGAGGTTACAACAACGGTCAGTGAGTCTCATAACCTTTGCCTTCCGCGGTCCTGTTCAACACTTAACATAAGTGCTAGTGTAATCCTTCAGTCAAAGACCAACTGAATCGGGAATACACTATAGTCTTTTTCCAAGTGGGGTCTCACTGCCAGTCTAGACTGTGAACGAATAGTTTAGTCTTATAAGGAACCGTAGGTGATCTTTCTGTTCGAAACTCTTCGAACCACACTACCTCAATATAAGACATGGTGTATGTATTGCATAAATAAATAAACTGCAAACATATGTACTTTGACCGAAACATGATTGCCAGATCAAAATGGAATTGATAGAATCTGCAAAACACAACTTTTACAGCATACCTCTAACAATCTTTCACTTATGCTTTATAAGCTCATGGCTAAACAAAAATAACAACAATTTCTTTCAATCTAATTCTCAAAGACTAGTCTCCTATGTTGCCCTTCTTGGCAACAACGAATTTTCCTCATTCAACGATTTCTCGTATCGGGTGGTACTGGCGCTCTATGTGTTTACTCGCTTTATGAGTCCGTCGTTCCTTCGAATTTGCTACTGCTCCACTGTTATCACAGAACACTGTGATTGCAGCGGGCAAACTCGATACCACATCAAGGTCGAGGAGAAAATTCCTGAGCCAGACAACTTCTTTCACTGCCTCTGAGGCTGCTACATACTCAGCCTCCATGGTTGAGTCCGCCACGAATTTCTGCTTGACACTCCTCCATACTATGGCTCCTCCTCCTAAAGTAAACACAAACCCTGAGGTCGACTTGCTTTCGTCCCGGTCTGCCTGGAAGTCAGAATCGGTGTAACCCAACGGAAGCAACTCGTCTGCCTGGTAAATCAACATGTACTCCTTAGTCCTACGTAGGTACTTGAGTATATGCTTTACCGCAGACCAATGTTCCGGTCCTGGATTACCATGTTGAAACGCTTTAGGACAGTGTCTATGTATGTGGATTGGGATAGGCACAACTTTCTCTCCTCTCGGTCGCGAATGACCTTGATTCTGAGAACATGTCCTACTTCTCCCAAATCCTTTATATCAAACTGCTTGGATAGCCATACCTTTACGTCTGATAACATCTTCACACTGTTTCCAATGAGAAGAATGTCATCTACGTACAACACTAGAAACACCACCATGTTTCCATCACTTTTCTTGTACACACAGTGCTCATCCGGACATTAGGTAAATCTATACGATTGAACAACCTCGTCAAAAAGGATGTTCCAAGACCTCGAAGCCTGCTTCAGCCCATAAATGGACCTCTTCAGCTTGCAGACCAGATGCTCTTGGCCTTTTGCAATGAATCCTTTTGGTTGCTGCATGTAGATGTCCTCGTCCAAATTCCCGTTAAGGAAAGCGGTCTTAACATCCATTTGCCAAATCTCATAATCCATATGAGCGGCCACAGCCAAGAGAATTCTGATGGATTTGAGAATGGCTACTGGCGAAAAGGTTTCCTCATAATCGATCCCTTCGTTCTGAGTGTACCCTTTCGCAACAAGCCTAGCTTTGAAGGTCTCAACCTTCCCATCTGCTTCTCTCTTTCTCTTATAGACCCACTTGCATCCAATGGCGCGAACGCCACTGGGTGGCTCTACAAGATCCCAGATCTGATTAGTGTCTATTGACTCTAATTCAGATTTCATCGCCTTTTGCCAAGACTCTGCGTCCCGATCTTGGAGTGCCTCATTGTATGTCCATGGGTCGGATTCAAGGACGTCTGGGACGGCCTCAGAAGACTCTCCCAGACCCATGAACCGTTCGGGCTGCTGGACAACCCTCCCACTACGACGCTACCTGCTCAGGTGCATCATCAGCGATACGTGTTGCAGTACTTTGTGGTGTAACATCTAGTGCACTCGGTATTGAAGTACTCACTCCCTTTAACTCCTCAAGAACATGCCTACTATTGGGCTTATGATCTAAGACATAGTCTTCTTCCAAGAATCTAGCATTCGTGCTAACGATTACTTTCTGGTCCTCGGAACTATAAAATAGACCACCTTTCATTTCTTTAGAATATCCCACAAACAGCCTTACTTCTGATCTCGGTTCCAACTTATCAGTATCGGTTCTCAGCACATGTGCTGGACTACCCCAAATCCTGAGATGTCTTAGACTAGGCTTATGCCAGACCACAACTCCAATGGTGTAGACGGTAATGATTTAGAAGGTACTCTATTCAGAATGTATACCGCTGTTTCTAGGGCATATCCCCAAAACGAATCTGGTAATGTACTATACCTCATCATTGCCCTAACCATTTCCATAAGAGTCCTAATCCTCCATTCTGCTACGCCATTCTGCTGAGGCGTGCCAGGCGCAGTCAGTTGGGACGTAATCCCATTATCCGTCAAGTATTTCCTAAATTCATTCGAGAGATATTCGCCACCACGATCGGATCGTAATGACTTGATACTTTTTCCTAACTGCTTTTCCACAACTGCCTTATACTCCAAGAACTTCTCAAAGCATTCAAACTTGCGGTGCAGAAGGAATATATACCCATATCTTGAATAATCATCGATAAACGTAACGAAGTACTCGAAACCACCTCTCGCTTGAATACTCATAGGACCACATAGATCGGAATGAACTAGCCCTAACACATCTTCGACTCTATGCCCCTTTGAACTAAAAGTCCTCTTAGTCATTTTACCTTACAGGCAAGACTCACAAGTTGGAAAAGCCTCGACTTCTAACGACCCCAAGGGCCTGTCTGCTACCAACCTTTGAATCCTCCTAAGGTTAATATGACCAAGTCATAGATGCCAAAGATATGTTTCGTTCATTTTTGAAGGTTCCTTTCTCTTATTCAGATTAGATGATGAATTAAGTAATTGTTTCTGTTGCAGTGGAGATGACGTAGATTCTAGAATGTATAGATTGTCAACTAATGAACCAGAGCATATGAACTTTTTGCCAAAAGGAATAACAACTTTATTATCAAACGTAGCGGAAAAACCGTTCATAAACGAATTAGAAACTGAAATCAAATTCTTTCTAAAACTGGGAACATAAAGACAATCTTTCAAAACTAGAAACCTATCTAAGCCAAAATCTAAACAGACGTTTTCCACTGCAACTGCTGACGCTCTACTAGCATCGCCCAAGTACATGGCAACTTCTCCTTCCCTAAGTCGCTTGGTTTCCTGGAACCCCTGCAATGAATTGCAGACATGATCAGTGGCTCCTGTATCTACACACCAGGTACTGGTAGATAACACCGCTAAACATGTTTCAACGACTAAAGCAAAAGGAGTACCTTTTTCGGTTTTCTTGGGAAGAGGGCAGTTTGGCTTCCAGTGTCCTTTCTGCTGACAGTTGTAACACTTGCCTTTCGGCTTGTTCGCCTTCTATCGAGGTTGCGCGTCACTCATGACCGCCTTGCCCTTTCTTGCGGACTTCTTCCTCTTCCTGCCCTTAGGAGCCTTAGAAGTGGAAGCTTCTCCCAGCTGGGCCACCATAGCTTGTTTCTTCTGACGAAACAGGCCCTCTGCCGCCTGAAGCTCAGCAACAAGTTCCGGAAGAGTCATTAACATCTTATTCATGTTATAATTCAACCGGAATTGCTCAATGCTCTTCGGCAAAGACTGGAGCACTATATCGACCTGGGTTTCCCCGTCAATAAAAGCCCCAAGAACCTCCAGCTCATTCAGCTGGGCCATCATAGCAAGAACATGTTGCCTTATGGGAGTGCCCTCGCACATGTTCATGTTCATCAAAACCCTCATGGCTTCTTGTCGGGCAGCCCGCGACTGATGACCAGATAACTCCTTGAGATTGAGAAGCATCTCTGCTGCAGTGTTCATAGACTGATGTTGATGTTGAAGCACATTTGACAAGGATGCCAAGATGTAACACTTTGCCATCTCGTCAGCCTTTTTCCACCGAGCATACTCCTCTTTCTCTTGGTCTGGTGCATTGTCAGCAGGCACAGGCAGACAAACCTCAACAGTAGCAAATTTGTACCCTTCAGCAGTTAACACAATATCCAAGTTCCTTTTCCAGTCAATATAATTGGGACCAACAAGTTTGTTTTCTTTGAGAATTACAGACAACGGATTGAAAGACATTTTGAATTCCTGGGATCATGCAAGCATAGTCTTTACTCAGTTAAGTAGTTTTGAATTTATACATCAAATATTAATCCCATGTGACAATATTCGAATAAATTCACCAACACCTCAAAACACCGAATCCCCGCAGGCCACTGAGTGTGGACGTCTACGGTTCAAACATTCGCAAGAGGAGGGATAAATTCCATTATCTTGACATACTGCCGAGCAATACTCAACTAATAGTCGGTTTCATCTTTTGGCCAGCGCAATTAACTTTTTAAAAGATCTTTATAAAAGAATAAAAACGACCTTGTCCTTTGGGACTATCGTAATTATTTGCACTTTAAGCGTAACCCATTAATTGGTACTAAGTTTACTACCAAAATTATACTTCCACCTTTGGGTGACCCGTACGCTTTTGAAATAGCTCACTATAACCATCCCGAAGGAGATTCGTCCTTGTGAACCGTGAAATAAAACGTCCTTTGTGCTCGAATTAAATCACTTCACTGACAAACCTTTAATGAAGGCCTTGGATGTAATTTATTTCAACCCATTACACACTTAATATAATTTTTATTTTATGGTATTTTCTTAACATGTTTGTTTTTGCACATAAGCAATCACGTAAAACATGCATGATTAATGAGCAATAATAAACTAGGAACTATAATCCAACTATTATGGCCATTAATCAATCTCCAATGTTACGGAGAAAACACAGTCCTGTCCTTGTTGAGTGTACCCTCCGTTTCGGGTATTCGAACTCCCTCTTTCGCAGTGACTCCCACTGAATTGGTCGTCTCCGGAAAAATCGCCATTGGATCATCACCATGGCATCTGTGTACGTGTTTATCGCCTTGCCCCGTCAAGGTTGGTCCACGCCCGCCGGATCAATAATGAATAATATAAACAACAATTACATAATTCATCCTCTGACCCACGCAGGAGCCGTACATGAGTTTCTATGAAAGCAATAAACTATGCGGTGTCCCACCGCGCGAATAATTTATTACAAGCATTCACCAACCCAAAAATTGCTTGACATGTCCAAGGCTTTAAAAACAGCATACATTCAACATGAATTAAAATCCATACATACGGGACACAATAGTCGGATTCGAAACACCTGCAAAAATTTATTGCAATTTCTAATCTACTATGCCGCTGCGTCCGTACGCACATAATTCATGTAGACAGGCAAAGTCCAAAATTCAAACTGTGCACGAGTTTGCATTAGCCTGGGCTCTGATACCAGTTGTTAGGTTCTTTTAGAACGTCAAACAACATGCACAGTATTGAACTTTATCGAAATAAATCCTAACGCAGCGGAATCTATAGTTAGGATATGGACGTTTACATTTTAAAATTTTTGCCGACTCTGAGACGATGTAGAGTACCGTTGATGAAGTTCATCTGAACACCACAACCGAATGGGCGGATAGGTTTGGTCTTTAATCGATTCTAATAGATAGGTTCCACGAAGCTCGATCACACGGAAAGCGGGTCTCGGTCATCAGGTTGCAGCGGGCCATCGTGCGCGTCGGGCGCGGACATCTTGCGGGCAGCATGCGCGGACTGCTGGTCGTGACGTGCGGATCGCTGGCGGGGCGCGTCGGGCGCTGAGCAAACACGCGGGACTACTGGGAACGCGGGACGGGTGCTGCGGGCAGGTGTGCGTGTCGCGGACGTGCGCTGGCGTTGTCCTATGCCTACGCGGACTGGCGCTGGCGAGTGGACGAACGCGGGCGTAGGCAGCAGGACTCTTGGGCGTTCACGGGACGGTGCGCGCGTACTCCGTGCGCACTGGGGATGCGCAAACGGAAACAGGCGAGATGCGCGGGCGAACGACAACGAGCAGG